AGGAGTATGAGAAGTATTTATAGTACTTCTCCATGTGGGTCTAAACCTAATCCAATCTGGCAAAGGAAACAGTTACAGACCAGGCCCAGAACCCGAACCCAAATAACATTGAGTCCATACACCGTGGGCGTTGCCCCCGCACCCCCACCGGGGCGTTGCCCCTGGACCCCACTCGCTGACCGGGCAGCGAGACCCCCGATTACCAGTCGTAGCGGCTGATAGTCCGATTCAAGTCACATCAACAACCGTAATGCGCAGGTTTTCGAGAAAACTTTGGCACCCTTCGAACAGCTGCATAGCAATGCCAGGAGACAACAGAAGCAGATTGAAGAGGCTTTTTCCAACGCCAATCACACACTTAGTGCACCCGGGATGGGAGAGAAGAGGATGATATTTTGGAAGGCTCCATTGGAGGGCTGGGCGAGTATAAACACTATTGGCTTCGTTATCCTGGCAACCCAGAGCTCCACGGCGGGTGGCGTGATCCGAGATGATAGAGGTCATTTCAAGCAGGCGCTCTGATGCGATATCAACTCGCACAATATTCAATTCCCGTGGTCCAAAAATGAAGATTCGTATTCGACGATTTAAGGATCAATTGGGAGCATTCTTGATGGATAAATTATGCTCGTACTGTTTCCAACACGTCACTGCGCATGGGACGTTTGCTTTGCTGGGGTGATTTGGTTGGGGGGTCGGTTAGCATGCTAACCCCCCTTAGGGGTTGGAAAAATGACACCCCCTAGTATATTAAATACAACTATAGAATTTAATACACACATTAAATACACATTAGGAATTAAATGTACCATATTAATTAGGAATTCTCTCACTATTAAATACACATTAGGAATTAAATACACACATTAAATACACATTAGAAATTCTCTCACTATATTTGATTTTTCCTTTTTCAGCAGTCTCCGACCACCAGACTTCCTCCGACCGCCACACTTCTCCGGTGAAAATCCCATTCGGCAGACTCCCTCCGACCACCTCCAAAAAATATACCACTGCACTGATACGGTGTACCACTGTACTGGTAGATATACCACTGCACTGATACGTTGTACCACTGTACTGGTAGATATACCACTGCACTGGTAGCGATATCAGTGCACTGGTAGCAATGTCATATCTGAGTATCAGTGCAGTGGTACAAATACCAGTAAAGTGGTAATTAATGTGGTGTATTTAATGCTTACTTTGTATTTAATAACAGAACATTTATTATGTTTACTTTCATTGATACTTGTCAATAATTAATGAAAAATTGACCAATTAAAAGGGGTGTCAAAAAACCAACTCCTTAAGGGGGTTAGCATGCTAACCCGTCCCTTTGGTTGGTGGTTAATTAATAAGTGGACGTGTTGTTCTCGTGCTGGGTTCTCATTGGGTTAATTTGCCAATTCATGGCAAGAGAGAATGCTACGTGTGTTCATAAGGGTTAATTATGGCATGGGATTAATGGTTAGTGCAAGATGACGTGTCTGTGTGCGCAAAACGGAAGGATCAAATTGCTTGAATTAATTGGACCAGCAGCTCACGTCAATGGAAGGAAAGGGAGGAGTCAAATTCCGCAACGGACAAGGAAGAAGAAGGACGCGCATCCTGCAGCGCTGGTAGGGATGGCAATGGATCGGGTTGGGGCGGGTTTTGCCAAACCCAAACCCAACTCGCTGGGTTTATCCGGCAAAAAAACCCGGGGTAAAACCCGCTGGGTTTGAAAAACTCAAACCCAACCCAACCCGCTAGGTATCCGCGGGTTCGTGGGTACCCGTGGGTTTTTTTTATAAAAATTTTAAAATAACAATTAACATACCATTCTAGAAAATTAAGCATCAATCTCGTAACACAAACTATCCATACTTAAACATACAATTCTAGAAAATTCAAACAAATCACACACTATCCATACAAATTGTTCAACATCAATCTAAAAAATTCAAGAAAGTCAAAAATTATCCATAAACAACCAAATTAATTGAAGTTTCTTCCTCCTTGAGAACTAGAACATTATCATCTTCGCTTCACTTTCCGCGTCACAATATGAACTTCATTCTACACAATTAGGTAGACCAAAATTAGACATGTCTCAACAAAAGGAAGATGAATTTCTTAAAGAAGATATATTGCTTAAAATAGTATATATACCGGTAACACATGAAGCACAATCTGGATCTAGATCATCATTAACAGTGGCATAAGTCATGAGCTTATCAATTGTTTCCAAGCCATCTGCAAATGAAATAGCAAGTTAGCAAATAATGGTAACCACCAATGATAACTCACAATATGTATTAAAGTTCATATGTGAAATCAAACAATCAAAGGTTCTCAAACTACCTGTAACGGTTGAATTGAGCAACCAATTTTGAGCACACATAAGAACCTCAACAGTTTCCGGGAGAAGTTTGCTGCGGCTAGGACTAACTAGTCTTCCACCAGAACTAAAAGCAGACTCAGAAGCCACAGTAGTCACTGGAATTGCAAGTATGTCTCTAGCAATCAATGCTAAAGTCGGATACTTTGTCTCATTTGCCTTCCACCACAATAAAATGTCAAATCCAGCCGTCTTGGGCAAGACTTTCTCCTTGAGGTAGCCATCCAACTCAGTTTCAACATCAACACTCCTAGTAGTCAACGATGCTACATACCTATCATATGCTGTCATTCTTCCTCCACCTTGACTAATCGAACTCACATCATGAGACGAATTGCCATCTTGATTCCCATCCACATTTGACTTCTTATAATCCTTCTCCAATTCAACCAACAATTGTCGAACACTCTCAATACATGCCCTTGATTCATCACCATAGATATCTGGAAAGTAGCACTCCAACAAGGTAAACTTATACCTTGGATCAAATACAGCAGCAATAGCTAAAACATCATGAATAGTACTCCAATACTTCTCAAATTTTGTCATCATGCTTTTGGCCATATCACTAATGAAAACATCATCATCCAACATCCAATTAGAGATGCCCACCTTTATGTCACACACCTTTTCAAAGAACAAATTGGAGGTTGGATATTTAGCCCCTGAAAACAGCTCAGTCACATCATAAAACAACTCCAACTTGTCACAAACCTTCCTTGCGAACTCCCAATCAGACTCACTAGGTAAATTCTTATAATCCTTCTCCATTTGCTTCAAGCGAGGAAAGACAATCTTATACTTCAAAGCAGAATGAAGCATAAAAAAGGTAGAGTTCCACCTAGTTGGGCAATCCAATGACAAACTTTTTCCATAAGAAATTTTCAATTGTTTTGCAGCTATTTCAAACTTCTCTTTCCTTTTAGGAGTAGCTGTCCAAAACTGCACACTATCACGAATGCGCTCTACACTCTTCTTTATCACATCCAATCCATCCTTGACAATCAAGTTAAGAATATGAGCACAACAACGCATATGAATTTTAGCACCAGACCACATCAAATGCTCAGAATTCAACTTATACTTCACCAAGTCAACCAATGCATCATTCGTACTACAATTATCTAGAGTAATTGCAGACAACTTGGTATCAACATTCCATTCATACAGAGTTTCAATAAGAACCTGAGCAAGTGCTTCACTAGTATGCGGGCAAGGTACATATACAAACCTACAACCAAAACATATCAACAAACAAAAGGTTAGATGCTACAAACACAAAAAAGAAGCAAGAAAAGAGCAAAAATAGGTGCTGCCAGCACACAAAAATCACATAAAATAGCTCATTAATCACACAAAACAGCCCAAAAATCACAAATAAATAAACAATGATTGAATAGGATTAAATACCTAAGAATGTAGCTCCGCATTGTCCAAGAAGCATCAATGAAATGGGCAGTTACCACCATAAATCCCTTCTTTTGATTAGTAGCAGTCCACATATCGCTAGTAATCGCTATCCTACTCGAATTCTCCTCTATCATACTCATAAGCATCTTCTTCTCAACCTCAAAGACTTTGAAAATGTCACTCTTCACTGTATTTCGGCAAGGGCACTTGAATAAAGGTTGAATGATGTAGAGAAATCTCCTAAAACCGATATGCTCAACAATAGAGAGAGGGTACTCATGTAAAATAATCATAGAAGCTAAAGCACGCCTCCCTTCTTCCTCATCAAATCTGTTGCCACCTGCTTTGCTGACATCTCCTTTCAAATTCTTTGTCAAAAGCATTTATTTAAGGTCTTTGCATTTTTTCCTCGGACATGTATGTAGAATATGCTGGCGCAAATGACTGGTCCCGTTATTAGTAGAAGCAGATAAGAGTTTCTTACATCGTATGCATTCGGCTCTGACAACCCCATCTTTCAAAATCCTCTTGAAATGCGGCCAAACATCACTCTTAAGCCCACTTGAATCAAGAATATCAATATCATTAGAACGTGCTGGTCGTTCACTCTCCATTACACCAGTAGGTGCTGCAGCAGCACCATTACCACTATCATTAGTGGGATTGGGAAGCTCAGACTGGGATCCCACAGTAGGTGTAGAAGTAGTACCAATGGTCTCATCACCTCCACTAACAATTGGACTTCCAGCTTCTGAGGCATTTGAAGCCATTTCAAGCACTACACACAAACAAATATCATAGTGAAACAATTACTCTTTCTATTTAACTTAATTCCAAGTTCAAGATATGAACGTCAAACAAGCAACCTAACTAAATCAAACCCTACCAATTCTATAACCAACCCTACCAATTCATAGTGAAACAATTACTCTTTCTATTTAACTTAATTCCAAGTTCAAGATATGAACGTCAAACAAGCAACCTAACTAAATGAAACCCTACCAATTCAATAACCAACCCTACCAATTCATAGTCAAACAATTACTCTTTCTAGTTTAAGACTTTTCCATAACCAACCCTACCAATTCTATGGACAAGGAGGGTGAACTACTAATCAGTATTCACACACGAGCCAACTTTTTCTCGACCATACTTAAAAAGTTTCACTGCCTATATATAAACCCTCCGCCTCTGATACACTTTTCATCCATCACTTGAACCAACAGATTCCAAACAAAAGATCCCTCTAAAATCTTCTCCACGAAATCAAATCAAGACATGGCTTTTTTTATTATTATCATAACTCAAAACAATAACACGCTAGTCAAACATTGATACCCATTAGGAAACTATAGATAGCTTTCTTGGGTCAGGATGAGATCCAAGGTGATTGATTTCAATGGATTCCTTCACTAGCAAGACAAAGCTAGCAATAAAATGTCTGTAGGAAATCCTACCACCATCTGAATGAAAAATGCAAGAGATTTAGTCCAAAACAACAATCAACAACTCAATCAACAACTCAATCCACCGACCACCATCAATATCACTTACACCCACCAGGGGAAGGGTCGGAGCAGAGGAACCAGGAGGTGGGCGGCGGGTGTGGACCGTCGGCGTTGGCGGGATGTGAGACTACGCGCAGAGCAGAGGAGAAGGAGGAGGGCGGCGGGACTGAAGGGCGGCAGGACTGGAGTCGGCGGGAGGCGGCGATGTGGAGGCGCGGAGCAGAGTAGCAGGGGGAGGGCGGCGCGGTATGGATTCGAACGTCGGCCGTCGGCGGGGAGGTGGGGACTTGGAGGCTCAGAGCAGAGGAGTAGCAGGGGGAGGGCGGCCGGCGACTGGAATGGAGACGGGATCCAGATTCGGCGGCGACGGGAATGGAGACGGGAGGAGGACACAGGTTTGGCGGCGAGAATTGATTTCAGAGAGGGAGAGGTTTGGTGGCGGCGTGCTACTCTCTGCTGGGAGGTTTGGTGGCGGCCAAAATTTGGGGTTGGAGGAGGACAGGAGGTCGACTGACTCAATGACAAAATTTGGGGTTTGGTGGCGGCCACATTAGAGATATTAGGGTTTTACCTATATCCGGGTATCCACGGGTCGGGTTCCCCCAAACCCGAACCCGACCCAACCCGCCCAGCCAGCCATCGTGTTTTAACCCGAACCCGACCCGAACCCAGTCAACACGGATTTTACCCGGTTTGACCGGGTCGGGTCGGGCGGGTACCCGCGGGTCCGGGTTTTATTGCGATCCCTAAGCGCCGGTGCCATTTTCGAGTTTATTTATGTGTTAAATAATTTTTATGTTTTCTAGTTAGTTTGAGATTTGTTTTTCTATTCTTTTTAGGTTAGCTTTATGTTTTTGAGACCTCTATAAATAGAGGATGTAAGACTTACGAATTTTGTACCCAATATTCAAGTTATCAATCAAAGTTGAGTTCAAGTTCATTGCGAACGAGTTCTTTTGTGCAAGATTTCTGTCGAGGATTCCAGGAGATTGTACGTGTCTCTTATCAACTAGAGAACGCGCCTAGTTGTGGCGAGCATCTACCCTATATCAATTGCCCCTTTCCACAAGTTGATTTTGTCTGATTGGTTTAATATACCAATTGCCCTTTGTCACGAGTTGGGATTGTCCGATTGATTCCGCATCTATCTTTTATTTCAAGTTGTTCAAGTTGGAGAAAAGCTTCGAAAATCCTTAAAAAGAAGGAAGGTTGCGTACTTTGGTAATATAATCCGAGTTCGAGGATCCTCTTCGAATCAGGATCACATCAAGGACCTTTTTTAGAGTGACATTCCCTTTAACAGAAGGAAGGATGAGTGAAGAAGTAAAGGTCGAGCCAACTTTGCAATCTCTTCAAGAGTCTTTGCTGCAACTTACTACAACTATCCAACAGTTGGTACTAAACCAACAACATGATAGGGGCAGGAGTCAACCTAGGAGGGTTGTTCGAGGTGCTCGCATTAACAACAAACACGAAGAAGAAGACCGAAAGAGAGCTACTCATGGAGATATCAAGATTAAAATCCCTCCATTTTCTTGAAAGAGTGATCCTGAAGAATTTTTGGATTGGGTGGACAAAGTTGATTATGCTTTTGAGTGTCAAGACTATGAAGAATTCGTCAAAGTTCATCTTGTAGCAGCTGAACTTACCGGTTATGCTAGCTTATGGTGGCGAAAAACTAAAGCTCAAAAGAGGAATCCTGTTGAGGATTGGGAAACCATGAAGAGATTGATGAATGAAAGATTTGTGCCAGGATATTACAAGCAAGAACTATACTACAAATTTCAAAATATTGAGCAACCAGGCAAGAGTGTGGTAGGTTATGTTACAGAATATGAGATGTTGCAGATGAGGTGCAAACTCAATGAAACTGAAGAGATGGACATAGCTCGTTTCATGAGGGGGTTACGCAAAGAAATAGCGAATGTGGTGGAGTTACAAACCTATTACACTTTGGAGGAAGTCATTCAATTGGCTATCAAAGTCGAGAAGCAAAAAACATACAATGAAGGTACTAGAGGTACCCCCTCCTCTTATCACATCGAGGGCCATAGATTGGAAGCATGAAGAGCGCCCTAAAACCACCCCTAAACCTGAACAGTCACGAAGAGAGGAGTACAAGGAGAAGACAGTTGCCAAGTATGGGCAGACTAGCACCATTAAATGCTTCAAATGCCAAGGTAGAGGACATATTGCTTCCCAATGTCCCAATCGACGAGCTATCATCATGAGGGGACTCCCTCCTGATTATGAGAGTGAAAAGAAAGATGAACTAGATGAAGAAAATGGCGAGATAATCTGATGGAGAATTGTTTGTTGTTAGAAGACTTTTTAGATCTCAAGTAAAGGATGACGAGCAACGAGAAAATTTGTTTCACATACATGGCAAGATCAAAGAGAACAAATGCTTATTCATTGTCGATGGTGGGAGTTGCACAAATGCTGCTTCAACCTATTTGGTGGAGAAAATGAAGTTGGCTGTAATGGATCACCCGCACCCTTATAAACTACGGTGGCTAAACGACAAGGGTGAACTCTTAGTTACCAAACACGTACGAGTTCCATTCTCAATTGGCAACTACTCCGATGAGACAATATGTGATGTGGTGCCTATGACAGCCTGCCATATTCTGTTGGGACGCCCTTGGCAGTTTGATCGTGATGTTGATTTTAAAGGAGCTGCCAACACTTATACTGTGTGGAAAGATGAGAAATCATACAAGTTGAAACCCCAAAGTCCCCAAGAAGTTAAGGAAGACTAGCGAGTAATGATTTCCAAGGTGAAAGAATACTCGAAAACCCATCATGTGAAAAATGAGGCCTTATTTGCTACGCAGAGAGATAATTTGGAATCGAATTAGGTCATATAGAGTTGGTATAATCCCATCACGCTCACTATGGACTTGGGAGGTGGCTCAATTACTCGAGCCGATTTGTTGGGTATGTTACAGGGCCTTCACTGCGCGTGGGAGATGGGGATCAGGAAGGCAATCCTACAGACAGATTCCAAGACAACAATTCAGCTCCTCGAGTCAGCTGCTACAACTCACCCTCATTTCACGGTGGTTTCGGAGCTGAGACAACTATTGCAGAAGGATTGGCATGTGAGGATTGAACATGTTAGAGAGGGGAACGCGGTGGCGGACTACCTTGCTTCTATCGGCCACTCCCGTTCGCTGGGAGTTCACATTTTTCTACAGCCAAGCAGTATGCTTAATTATTGGCTTCTCTTTGATCAGCTTTGGTTTGCTTATGTCGACAAAATAAAAAATTCGTAGATCGAAAATAGTTTAGTATAAGAATAAGTTGATTTTATATAAAACAAAATGGTCCTTACAAGGGGTGGTTTTATCCGTAGAAATATTCACCTTGGAGAATCATTCATTCATAAAACAATGACCAAATTCAAACCATTAATGTAAGTACAATATTTACCAGTGTCAGATTTTATATATTTTACAATTTAATATGCATACATACCCTGTGTGATTTAGGGAAGAAAAAAGTTGTTTTTATATCACTAGAAGGTGTGGTTGAATCTTATTAGTGTCTACATGAAGCGCAAAATAAACTTTGAGATGAAATGACCATCAATGATAGCTCTTATCAGTTTATAATCACTCTAATTATTTTGACAATTCGACATTAGGAAATTACTTGCCATATTAAATTTCATAAATTGGATCACATAAGTCAAAGTTGATAAACTATTGGTTTGGGATCTAGCTTTGAGTTTTAGACAAAATGAGACGACCTCCACTCCTGATCTCTTACAAATTGAGGGAATGGAGTTGAAACTCGACATCAAACTCACCGATGACAACATCATGAACCCCATAAGCAAGTATAATTTTTTGAAAAATAAGGATTAACGAGCATATCTTAGAAAATGTTCAAGACTTGGACGAGAACAAATTAGTGGTTCAATGCTTTGAATAAATATTTTCTATGAAGAATCGTCTAATTGGCAAAACAATGCTCCAGCTCGATCTTCAAACAACCAATAGATGAGATGAGATTTTGATGCATAACCTCCTTTAATGATAGTTGACGTGGATCTCGCCTACAAATTCAATGTAGTATATATCCTTCTTTCAACTTCTATTAAAGAAATTTTATGGGTTACCAAATCATTATTAATTGAAACCTATCAAAGAAAAGGTGAAGAAGACTACAAGAAGTACTTTTATGAGAATTATACTACAACATCAAAGACGACAGTAGTTAGGTAACAATGTACCTCTATTCTTCCATTCTTTTTAACTTCAAATTCATTTATTCAAGGAAAAAATCATACCCACTAAACATAAAGTTGTCAACTAAATAATATATGTGTCAATTGCTTCAATTTTATTGATTCGTGATTAATTGTGGACAGTTGTTGAACCTGACTTTAATGTTCCAGTTCGTGAGAGACCTAGATTTTTATGAATGCCTACTAAGAAACTACCTAAAGATAGGGATAGAATGAGAGGACCTTTACTGTCTCATCTCCTACAAACTGAAGGAATGAAGTTGAATTTTCACATCAAACTCACTCATTGCACATTACCAACCTCACAAGTAAGTACCAATTTTTAAAAATAAGGAAGGACGAAGAAGTTTAATTTCAGACAAATTCATGATTTGGACAAAGCAAATTTAACATTTTGAAAATGATGGGAGGAAGGTGCGAATCGTTGATAGCATATGAGATTTGGGTGAAGTAAATTTTATTGGCGTTATGATGTTTCACATTTTCAAACATTTTACAATTAAAAATTTTCAAGAACCTCTTTATATTAGTGTTAGGATTGTAAGGGCAAGAGTCCTCTTCATCAGTTATTGAAGAAAGTAAATGTCTTCTTCCAATTTGGATATTCTTCTTCCAATTTTGGATGCCATCAATTTAGGAGGCGAAAATGATTTTTAAAATTGAGATGCTTTCATATTTGGTTACACTAATTTTTAATCAAATTCGATGGTTATGGTTATGTTTTGTGGTTTCTTGCTTGGTTAATCGAGTATCTCAATTTGGTTAGAAGATTTAGCACCAAATCTTAATTTTTGTTGCATAAGCACGTAATCATCTCCTATCCCGTCTCACACTCAGGAACAAACCACACATTAGAAGGGGTGTGTCAGTTTACACATCTCCGACAAATAATCTTGTAGAATATTTATGTTTCGTCTGTATAATTTTTGCATTTAGAACCTCCGACACACCTAAAGAAAATCGTAATTGACTTATCTTGATTATACTACAAGAATAGGATTATTATAAGATTTTTAAAAAAGTGTGAATAAATATGATTTCTCTTAATTCTTAAACAACAATAGTCATTTTCCATTTAGTCTATTTGATGTAGAATTTAATATTAAATTTAATTGTTGCAACCAGGTTGTTAGCTATGAAGTGTATTAATAAAAACCTTCAAATTTGGATGATTGGCCAATTTATAAATAATTGTTTGTTATATTCATTGAAAAAAATTGAGTCACAAACCAATGAATGGGTTTCTATTTTACATTCCTTTAAGAATATGAAAAGTAGTCGCGCGTGGAAAAAAATGAAATTGTTTACTTTATGGGCTAAATTTATATCTTAATTATTTACTTTCTATTTAATTTTTATTGACTAAACAACTTCTTGAGAAATCTCGGATAAGCCGCTGCTCTCATTACACCGGTCTTCTACTTGCTTGAATGAAATGAAACTACACTAGGTCATATTCGAACTTGATGAACATGGACTAATATGAATCTTGATTGAGTATATATATATATGTATATATATTTTACATAAGAGGCTGATTATTGTAACTGAGAATCATCTCATAAACTAAAGTAAAGAATTGAACAATTTTAACTCTGGCTATTGATACTGTGTATAAAAAATCTTAATTGACAATCTTTAACAAAAATCTTAATTGATATAATTTATCAAATATTATAGTTAAATGTTTCGGCCAACTGGTCGGGTCCAAGCTATTTTTTAAGTGTGGTATTATGATAATTTTTTTAATTAGGGTATTTAAGAATTTTGTCCATGACTTATCTCCCTACAACCGAAACCCTAATCTGGCTACCCCTACACTATAGTATTTCATATTATTTCCCTATAACAAAATTTGCAAAAAAAACTCCTCAGATTATTCCCAATCAAAATATTTGCAAAAGAAACTCCCAATTAGCAAAACAATCTTGCCTATCTATCGACTACAAGAACGTGCAATTAGAGGCCCTTCGGCCTTGCACATTTCCCCTCCAGATCATCAATAGTAAGTATCACAGATATGCTCTAATAACTCCCGATCCTACAAATACGCTCCATAGCACGCCAAACAACGATGCTTCCTGTGCTTACTATTCACGTGGAATTTCCGGCTCTTCAAGTACTGAGCCCTAAAAGGGAATAGGCTGCAACCGAATTTTTGTTCACGAACAGTTGCGGTTGTCGGCCACTAAGGATCAGGATCAGGAGAGGGAGTCCGGCGAGAGGGCGGCGAAGCAGTGGACCGCGGTAGATGCTGAGGAGATGAAACCCCAACCTTTTTCCCCATCTCAAATGGGGTTTCAAATTCTCAAAATTGTTTTGTTATTACTGGCTAGGTAAATGGAAGGTCATTACTCATCATTCTCTACTAGATTATTGGCTGACGCTTTGCGACGGGTAGTGATTAACATCTTATTTACCTTTATTGGATTGAATTAGACTAAATTGATATTATGATTGCAGTTTGATTTTGATTGGTACATTATTTTTTTCAATACTTTCTTAAATGATCTGCCATTCATGTACTTTGTTTGATACATTGTTTTTTTTTTATAGAAACCTGGATTCCATTAACTTAGAGAAAAGTCAAGTCTGGCCCATAGAACCTCGGCCAAATCGCCAACAAGAAAGGATAACAAAGAGAAAGGTGGGTTATCGACCCAAACAAATTGATTCTCCCAACCCGAAACAAAATGGGCCAACCAGTGAGCAGAGCCATTATTTTCCCTTGCCGTAAACGACCACCTGACCGGAATTCCAGAGAATCCCTCGTTCCCCGATGCCGCCTTCCAAATCTCATCGCACCAGATACCCAGTTCGGTCAAATCCTTCTCCTTGTTCTTAAGCATGTCGATGAGAACCTTGCAGTCCAATTCAACAATAAGAGGGCTTAACTGTCGCCAATTAGCTTCTCTCAAACCCATGAGAATCGCCCTAGCTTCCGCTTCAATCGGCCGGCACTTCCCCTTCATCTTCAAGGCCGTCGCCCCCTGAAAATCACCGCGCCAATTATGAAGAATACAGCCAAGGCCGATCCCAGCTTGAGAAGGAAAACCCGCATCACAATTCAGTTTAAAAGTCTCATCTCGAGGAGGGCGCCACCCAGAAAATCGATGTGAAGAGTTCAAGGGAAGGGGAGCCGAGATTACATGATCAGAGGGGCCTTGAGCATCCAGATAGGCATACAGCCATGAGAGGGCACAGGGAATGATCTGCTCTTCTTCCATTTTTGGGTTGTTGTGCTTGTGATTGTACCAGATGATAGCAGAAAACCGCTGAATTTTCTCATCGGGGCAAGATTTGAAGATTAATTTCATCCATTCCATGCAAGATTTCCCCTCAACAATATCAAACATTTCTCTTTCTTCACATACTTTCCACCTGCGCCGGATCCAGTCGCACTCCCGAAGAGCATGCATCTGCGATTCAGGAAGGCCACAGAACGGGCAATCGGGGCAAGCATCCTCTATCCACTCCTTAATATTTGTTCCCACCGGTAAGATATTCTTGCATAGTTTCCATAAGAAGATGTGAATTTTAGGCTGGATCTAAATTTTCCATAAAGCTTTTCAGAATTCCCCATCATCCCCGTCAATGGTGTGAACTCGAGACATAACTTCAGCTCGCTGTTTCCGAATTCTGAAATAGGCTGATTTTACAGAATATATACCATTCTCTGTATCAATGCAAACCCTGGTATCCCGATTGGGAGGGAAACAAAGGGGAATCTGGGGAATGAGAATCCTGTCTTGAGAAGAAAAAATACCATTGATCTTGTCCAAATCCCATCCACCCCTGTCATAGTCAATAAGAGTCTTAACAGTATCATTTGAAGGGACCCCTGAGGGGAGAGGATCAGCATAGAAAAATCTCTTTCCAGGAATCCAAGCATCATTCCATATATGAATATCCTCACCACTTCCAACTCTCCATCTGAATCCATCGCAAATTTTCTCCTTTGCTTCCATAATGCTTTTCCAAACATAACTCAGCCTATACCCCAATTTAGCATTGAGAATGTCAGATTTAGGGAAATATCTTGCCTTCAGAACACGGGCCATCAAAGAATCAGGTCTGCAAATAATGTTTGACACCTGTTTACCAAGCAGAGCCAGATTAAAAGAGCGAAGGTCTCTAAACCCCAAACCGCCCTCTTCTTTCCTGTCACAAAGATCATCCCAATCGAGCAAATGAATTTTTGTTTCTTTTCCTTTTTGCCCCCACCAGAAATTGGAGATCATGTTTTTAATCTCGTTTAGGGTACCATCTGGAATACGGAAAACAGCCATAGGATATAGAATTTGAGCTTGGGCCACAGCTTTTATCAAAACTTCCTTTCCCGCTTGAGACAAAGTTCTCCCTTTCCAATCCTTGAGTTTCTTTCGAACCTTCTCTTTAATATTCTCAAACAGAATTTTCTTTGATCTCCCTACCGCAGTAGGTAGGCCAAGATATTTTGGTAGCTTCTCCACTTCTCTAATCCCCAAAGTACCACAAATTTCAAGCCTTCTACTAACTCTAATGTTTTTGCTGAAGGCGATTTCAGATTTGTTAAATTGATGAGTTGTCCTGATTCCTCCGCATAGATCCGTAGGATCTCTTTAAGTTGGTCGCACTCTCTTAGAGTAGTTCTTCCGAAAATCACACAATCATCAGCAAACAACAAATGCGAGACAGTTGGAGCTTTCTTGCGAATCCGGATACCATTCAGTTTCCCTTCTCTTCCAGCCTTCTTAATCAACGCGGACAACCCTTCTGCACAAAGAAGAAAGAGATAAGGGGACAAGGGATCACCTTGTCGAAGGCCCCTCGAAGGCAGAAAGGGGTCGGACTTATGACCATTAACAAGAACCGAATACGAGACCGATGGGACACATTTCATAATAAGATCAATCCACTTCTCGTCGAACCCAAGCTTCCTCATAACCTTCTCTAAGAAAAACCATTCAACTCGATCAAAGGCCTTAGCCATATCGAGTTTTGTTGCAAAGTAGCCATCTTTTGCCTTTTCCCTCTGCTTCATGAACTGAAAACATTCGAAAGCCACAATAACATTATCAGTGATGCTTCTACCAGGGACAAAAGCGCTCTGCTCTTCTGAAATAATATCATCAAGGATGATTTTCAAACGGTTGGCCAACACTTTAGAGATGATTTTGTAAACAACCCGGCACAAACTGATGGGTCTAAAGTCTTTAGTCATAGATGGGGATTTCACTTTAGGTATGAGGGAAATGAGAGTATGATTTAACTCATGGGGGAGAATCCCAGAATTGAAAAAATTTAGAACCACCTCAATTACCTTAGGGCCAATAGAGCTCTAATTCTTTTGAAAGAATCCTGCCGAGAAACCATCAGACTCAGGGGCCTTATTTGGACCCAATTGATCGAGGGCAGCCTTGATCTCATCACTTTCCAATGGTTTGATGAACATATCATTCATAGCTGGTTTGACTTTCCTTTCCAAGGCCTGTATAACACGATCAGAACCATCATCATTTCTCTTTTTGAACAAAGACTGAAAATCCTCAACAATGCATCTAGTGACTTCCTTTTGGCCCTTGAAAATTCTGCCATTTTCGTTTCTGATCATCTTGATAGTATTTCTTTTCCTTCTCGCTGAGGATTTTGAGTGGAAAAACTTGGTGTTTTTGTCCCCACCCCGCATCCAGTCGGCCCTCGATCTCTGCTTCCATAAAAGCTCTTCAATTTGGATTAGATCAGTCCTTTCCGCTTCAAGCTTCTTTCTCTGTTCAAGAACCACTTCAGTCTTTGGTTTGAATCTGAAAGTTTTAAGCAGGTTGTTAATTCTGTCCAAACTCTTCTTGATGTCCCCAAATTTATTTTTACTCCATCTCTGGAGATCATATTTGCATCTTTCAAGAATAGAAAGCATGTTGGCTTCTGGGTCAGCCTCACAGGCTTTCTTAATGATCTCCATACTTTCCGGGTCCTTGAGCCATAATGGCTCAACTATGAAGTACCATCCCCACTTAACCTCTTCTTCTTCCTTACCAAGAGTAGACAGCAAAATAGGGCAGTGATCCGAGCCACTTCTGTCCAGATGGTGAACTTGGAAGTTTGGGTAAAGACCCATCCAGTCCCAGCTAGCAACACACCTATCAATCCTTTCTTCAATGTACCTGTCATTGGCCCTACTATTTTCCCAGGTGAAAGGATAACCCTTAAAACCACAGTCCAACAATCCACAAAATTCCAAAGCTTCATTGAATTCAGTTGCTTGAAGTTCATTTATAGGTCTTCCTCCTTTTTTCTCACTTCCTGCAAAAATTTGGTTAAAATCACCCATACAGACCCAAGGAAGGGAGTTAATATTCTTTAATCCTCTAAGAAGGTCCCACGATTGGAAACACTCCTCCCTGTCAGCTCAACCATAAAAACCTGTGAACCTCCAATGGTCCTTATCGTCATCGTCTGAAACAATGGTATCAATATGATGGAGAGTCGCAGACAATTTTGTCACCACCACCTCCTCAGTCCAAAACATACAGAGACCTCCCGCCTTCCAACCTCTATCATTTCTAGCAGCCACCCCCCAACCATCATAAAAACCCAGACTTCTTTGAACTTTCTTCCAACCATCTTCGTCAAGTCTGCTTTCCATAAGAAATAGGATATGAGGATTATGTTTTCGGACAAGCTTTTTAAGTCTGGCAACTGCCGTGGTGTTGCCCAAACCATGACAGTTGTAACTGATAATCTTCATTGGGCTCGGCGGCCTTGCTCCTCGGCAAGGACCGCCACATCGCCATCCACATTTGAAATATAGAAAGGTCTGGTTCTTTTTTCCATCATGGGATCCGAATCCACATCCATATCATCAGGGTTTGATCACTTCCCCATTAGAATTGGACTATTCTTCTGTTCTTTAATTGTTGATGTGCCCCTGTCAATTCTGGTCCACTTCTAACAAACCAGCCTTTTCCGAGAATCATCACAGTCTTGGCTATCAGCAAGGGTCAGTTCAGACTTTTGTGTTGAGTCATTTTCTTCATTTCTTTGCTCTGGACAATTCAGATTCTCAACATCCTTTTCGTGGGGTTGATGGTCCTCAGGGGACACACTAGAACTCTTTTGCTGAGTAGATGATAAGTTCCCTCCATCTTTACTAATATCCGATAGCCCTTTTGTTTGGTCCACACTTGCCATGTTTGCTTTTGCTGCTCTTCCCTCTTTCACTTCTGTCCATAAATTTAATAATCTTTGAGTTCTGTCTTTCTCTTGCATAGGTATCTTCTTCAAAGGAGAATCAGCCCTGAGCCATGCCCCATAGGAGTACTGATAACGATGTAATTGCACGTATTTGCACCCCTAATTCTTATCCGTTTGAGAGGCATAGTCGTGTATTTTGGCCTATTTTACGCCGGGTTGTGCTATTTTGTCATATTTCAGGTCCCAGGCGTCAAAGGAAAGGCTAAGCACGAGTTTCGGGGCATTCGGAAGTCATTTCGTCAAGCTGGAGCCAAAACACGAGCAGACCTAAAACAGAACACGGCCGTGTTCTGTGGCCGTGCTTTTACTGCCGAGAGCAAATTCGAGGGTGGCAAATATTGGCTAAAAACACGGGCTGAAAGCACGGCCGTGTCAACCAAAGCACGACCGTGTCCTCTCCAAAACACGCCCGTGTTTCCCCCATTGCACTGGCCGAGTAATTAACCCTAGCCAAAGCACGGGCGGGCTGAGGCATTACACGGTCGTGCCCTCGACCGTGCTTTGGCCACTGATGCCCTTTTAAGCAGATTTCAGCCAAAAGAGAAGGGGATTCGAGTTTTGAGAGAGATAGAGCGATTCCTAGAGAGAGAAAGCGACGAACAAGAGTCTCCAAGCGCCCTAGCTTGATCTTCATCACCATTGGAGCTTGGCTTGAGCTTGGAAAAGTGCCGATCAACGTCCAGAAGCAGGAATCCATCCTTCACAGTATGAATTCCGCGTCTGATTTTGCTTTTGCTTCTTTCTCTATGGAGTAGTTCTCCCATTCATCTGGGTATGGAGAACCCTAGATTTGTATGTTAGGCTTTGATTGTATAAACCCAAGTACTGATTCTATGATTTGATTATATTCGATTGAGGTTTGAATGATTGAATGGCATGAATCCTGATCAAATTCCTGTTGTTTCTGCTTTAACCTAGAATGAGAATATCTGCCTAGGTTGATAGAGCATCCTTGATTGAAGGTAGGGAGTTGGTGACTTTAGTCGAGGAGCCAACTCACTATTCTGTACCGGATTTACTCCGGTAGTGGAGGTTTTGTTTGTTAAGGCCTCAATCGTTTACTCCGGTGGAGGTTAGTCGCCCGCTAGAGACTTAGATTGAGAGGGTCTAAAGACCTTTAGTCGAGACTTCAGGTTGTTTAAGAACCTTCCGCAGTATAACTATCATAGAAACTGAACTTGGTAATTACAATCCGGTTTAACTGCAGTCTAGGGGGAACCATATCCAGGTGACCTCTCTTAACCTGAAAACAACCGTTTACTTGCTTTGTTAGTTTGTTAGTTTAAACCTGCATTAAAGTTTCATTGCTAGATAACAAGAATTCACTGAGTAGTCATCAAATCTAGGACCCGGGTTGATAATTAAACCTAAACCCACTATACTACGCTTTAGGAAGTGGTTTCACTTGGCCAATTCCTGGAGTGACAGTAGAAGTGAGTCAAGTACTCTTTTTCATCTCCTCCTTCCAACAGTATCGGACATGATTTTTTAAGATGGCCAAAGATTCCACATTTGAAGCAGTAGACTGGTAATCTTTCGTATCCCACTTTGTACGAGATAGCTCCATTCTTACCTTGCATCTTGACAACTCTTCTTAGGGGTTTCACTGTAGAAATAGATACTCTGATCCTCATAAACTCACTTCCAACCCCTGAATGAAGTTCATCCCACCTTACAAACTTGCCAAACATGCCCCGATTTTCTCCGCCATCTGTTGATTTCTGAGATTCAAAGGGATGTGCCTGATATGAACCCAGAAGTCAGCATTATAGAAGTCCAGACCTTTGAGGTCCAAATCAGGTGGGACTTCCTTAAAAATAAGCAATTGTCTCTCCAGGTGCCAGAGTCCTCCATAGATCACTTTATTCTTGTCTTCATAGCAGTACAGTTGGATACTTAATATATCATCCTTCGTGACCTGAATGTCAAAGTCTTTCCTTAACTTCCAAGCTTCACTGAAGCATAATTTGTTATCAAGCAGTAAGCTTTGTGGAAATGGTCATAGAGTCATTTTTGAAGCTTCTCAGTGCGTGGTTGAACGTGTGAATGATGGTAAAATTATATTTGTAGGGAATAGACAAAATAACATGCATACCATTGATTTACGCAATCTGGAAGCATTCAATGAGTATTGTTTTGTTGCATCTTTTCAACAGGAGCTTTTATGGCATAGAAAACTTTGTCATATCAGTTTGTCAAAACTAGCAGCCTTATCCAAGTTAAATCTAGTTCGTGGAATTCCTGATCTCAAAGAAAAATCAATTTTTTTCTGTGAAACATGTATTTCGGGAAAACATACTCGAAAATCTTTCAAATCCAAGCCAGACATTACTACTAGTTCAATGTTTGAACTGGTACATATGGATCTTTTTGGTCCATGCAATGTAACTAGCTTAGGAGGAAAGAATTACGTCTTTGTGCTGGTTGATGACTATTCTCGTTACACTTGGGTCGATTTCCTTGCTCATAAAGATGAAACTTTTGAAAAATTCAAGCTTTTTGTTTCGTTATATTCTGGTCGTATCAAAACGAGTAAAAGTGACAATGGGGGGGGGGGGGATTTACTGCTGATGATTTTGAAACTTTTTGCAATAATACTGGGATCTCTCACACTTTTTCTGCACCTCGAACCCCTCAACAAAACGGGGTGGTGGAACGAAAAAATTGTACCTTAATCGAGTGTGCTCGAACGCTGCTACTAGAATATAACTTGCCTAAGCATTTCTGGGCTGAGGCAGTTAGTACTGCTTGTTATATTATAAACAGAGTCATAGTCAGAAAATCCTTAAACAAGACTCTGTATGAGAGATTTAAAGATAAAACTCCTAACATCTCATACTTTCATCCCATTGGATGTCCTTGTTTTGTGCTGGACACTGGGGATCATCTAGGTAAATTTGACTCCAAGTCTGATCTAGTTGTGTTTCTAGGATATTTTGGAAAGGGTCAAGCCTTTAGTGTGTTTAACAAAAGAACTCGTAAAGTCGAGGAATCAGTCCATGTTAGATTTAATGATGCCTCTATATCTCCTGAACCACCTGCCACACCTTTGTCCTTTGATTTGTCTAAAATGATCCACAATACTACCATGGAAGTGGAAATAGAACATGACAAAAATGCTGCAGTTATTAATACAAATGAAACAACGGAAGGATCTGCATCATCTTCAAGTGGTCATGCTACCGCCGATACGACGACAACTGCTCCCCCACGTATTCAAAAGAGGCACCCAACAACTCAGGTAATTGGTGATATAAATGACAGGCTTAAAACTCGAGGTAAGTATGTTCCTGGCCAATATGCTTATGTTTCTCAAATAGAACCAAAGAATTATAAGGATACTTTGAATGGTGATGAATGGTTGTTCGCTATGGTTGAGAAACTAACTCAGTTTGAGTATTTGCATGTTTGGGACTTAGTCCCTAGGCCTTTGAATGTTACTGTCATAGGCACCAAATGGGTGTTTAGAAATAAAACTGACGAAATAGGCTTCATTATTCGTATAAGGCCAGGCTGGTCGCTCAAGGGTACTCACAAGAAGAAGGGATTGACTATGATGAGACGTTTGCCCCGGTTGCACGTCTCAAGTCAATTAGACTTCTCTGTGCCTACGCTTCCTATATGGGGTTTCATTTGTTTCAAATGGATGTTAAAAGCGCTTTTTTAAACGGGGTTATTGAGGAAGATGTGTATGTCGCTCAACCCATGGTTTTGTTGACCATAGGTACCCTAATCATGTCTTTAAGCACAATAAAGCTTTGTACGGACTTAAACAAGCTCCTCGAGCTTGGTATGATCGCCTCACCTCTTTTCTTCATGATCAAGGTTTTCTTCAAGGATCCGTTGACAAGACTCTATTTATAATACATGCTTCTTCTGATTTCTTACTTGTGCAAATATATGTTGATGATATAGTCTTTGGGTCCACAAATGCTAGTCTTTGCTCATCCTTCTGTGACTCCATGAAAAGTGTCTTTGAAATGAGTTTAATGGGGGAACTAAAGTTCTTTCTAGGTTTACAGATTAAGCAAACACCGCATGGCACGTTCATCAATCAATCTAAATATGTGTCTAATATGTTGAGTAAATTCGACATGAATGTTGTTAACACTAGTCCCACGCCCATGGCGACTAATGTTAAGCTGGACAGAGATGAGGCCGGCACACCAGTTGATGAATCCATGTACTGCGACATGATCGGATCGTTGCTTTATCTTACAGCTAGTCGTCCAGACATTCAATTTGTTGTCTGCTTGTGTGCTCGCTTTCAAGTTCAACCCAAACAAAGTCATTTGTCAGCTGTAAAACGTATTTTCCGATATCTGAAAGGCACAATTGATGTTGGACTCTGGTATGCCTAACAAGATTATTTTGATCTAGTTGGTTATACAAACTCTGACTTACAAAGAAAGTGGAACCGATCAACAGATAGTGGCTTGGTGAACAAGTCATCAAGTTGGAACTCAGTGGAGATATATGAAAGAGCAATAGTCCTGAACCGAACCAGTTCTCTAATAAAATGATACTTTATATCTATATGTTTAGTGCGAGAATGCTGGACATGATTCTTACACATGCAAATCGCACTAGTATTGTCACAAAACAAAGGAATAGATGGAATAGACACGCCATAGTCAGCAAGCTGAGTTTTGAGCCAAAGGAGCTGAGCACAAGAGCTACCAGCAGCCAGGTATTCTGCCTCTGTAGTGGATAAGGCTACAACTCCCTGTTTTTTTGCAAAACCAATACACTAATGAAGTGCCAACAAACTGGCAGCCACCAGACGTGCTTCTTCTATCTGTTAGACTGCCAACGAAGTCAGAGTTTGTATAACCAACTAGAGTATTGTGGATCATTTTAGACAAATCAAAGGACAAAGGTGTGGCAGGTGGTTCAGGAGATATAGAGGCATCATTAAATCTAACATGGACTGATTCCTCGACTTTACGAGTTCTTTTGTTAAACCAACTAGATCTTTTGTTAAGTCGAGGAATCAGTCCATGTTAGATTTAATGATGCCTCTATATCTCCTGAACCACCTGCCACACCTTTGTCCTTTGATTTGTCTAAAATGATCCACAAGAAAGAAGCAGGGGTTTTCCCTAGAACAGAGTAGCCGAGCTACAGAAAAATAAACAAGGAAACACAGTAAAGAACACAAGGAATTTTAACGAGGTTCCCCAAACTACCGGGTCAGTCCTCGTCCTAGACTCAGTACGTCACTGAAGTCTAGGAGACTCTGTTTTATTTGATTTTTCCTATCAAGCAAAAGAAAAGAGAAAGAACAGACTCAAGAACAATGATCAAAAGAAGAAGATTTCAGCACGGATCCCAATCCCAGACCTGTTACACTATTAATCAAACAAATCCTTTCCCCCTGTTCTGATTAACCCACTGTTGTAAATTGCCCTATACCGCCTTTACAAGAGTTGTCGTTCTCCAAAATCCTAAAGGATTATATATAGCTTTCAGCTAGGAGACCGTTGCCTTTGAATCTGTCTAGAGAAGGTAACTTGACAGAGTACCATTGCCTTTGAATCTTTCCTAGATAAGGTAACTCGACAACATCCAAACATAGACCATCGCCTGGTCAGGCAAACAAGCACATCCAAACAATCATATCCAAAACACGTACTGCTCCCCCTAACAATGAGTTATAAAGTTATCAGAGACCACAACCTGGTCAAGCAAATACCACGATAAAGAAAACTAGTACTCCTCCTAGGCTGCATCTTCATCAGAGTCAGCGTCGCTAGGAGCATTCGAATCGTCAGAATCAGAGTCTGAGTCACTTCTAATGACCAGGATGTCATTGTCACCATTCTCCACCTCAACTGCTATTTCCTGAAGGTCCATAATGTCGTCGGCGGTGAGAAAGATGGAGGGTGTAGTGGAGCGGAACGGAGTGAGGTTGACATTAAGACAAAACAGCAGAGTAGTAATGAGAGGACCAAAGGGGAGAGATGAGGTGATACCCACATCACATAAGGTGAGGATAGACCCGTAAAAGAGATTAGTGAAACTCAGCGGGATGCCATGAGCAGCATGAGCAAGAATCCATAGTTCCACGGGAGTTATCAGCTGGAGTTTACCGAAGCGAGGGAGGAACACGTGGGAGATGAAAAAATGGAGGGCTCGAAAGATGGAGGGTGTAGTGGAGCGGAACGGAGTGAGGTTGACATTAAGACAAAACAGCAGAGTAGTAATGAGAGGACCAAAGGGGAGAGATGAGGTGATACCCACATCACATAAGGTGAGGATAGACTCGTAAAAGAGATTAGTGAAACTCAGCGGGATGCCATGAGCAGCATGAGCAAGAATCCATAGTTCCACGGGAGTTATCAGCTGGAGTTTACCGAAGCGAGGGAGGAACACGTGGGAGATGAAAAAATGGAGGGCTCGAAGGGAGGGTAGGAGGGCCGAGATAGGAATGGTAAAATTTGGACCAAGAAACTGATCAGTAAGCTGGTGGGATTCTTCCGAAAGATCAAAGTTAAAAAGCTCAAGTTCAAATGCATCAGCAAGGTTCTCACCTAAGGCTGGAATATGAAGAATACGTTCTAGGGAAAACCCCTACTTCTTTCTTGTCTTCGCTGCAAGGAAGAAGATAAGTCCTTTGGACTTATGTTTGCGGGCTTCTTCATATTGGGGAAACTTGTTCCTTTTACTTTGGCTAATATTTAATTTTCTATTTTCTTTGGGCTTGTTGACTTTTGGGCCTAGCTTCAGAAACAAAAGAGAATGAGAGCGTTGAGCAGATTAAAGATCTCTCATTCCCTTCCATCTCTCTCGATCTCACATTTCCGATTCCCAAAATTCTCACGAACTCTAATTTCATCTAACTTCTTTTTCTGGATAATATCATTTTGGCATGATATTTGGATTCCTGGTATCACGCTTGTTGTTGCCTTCCCTCGAGTTGTTGTTGTTGCATCTTCAACGCCTGATGCTCATATTTCTGACATCATTTCTTTTTCAGGTGAGAGGATTAGTTGTGTTTTAAAACTTAAATTCAAATTGAGAGGGGTGGCGGGGTTGAGAGGGAAATGCTAAATCTTTTAAATTCTGCTTAATACTATTGATTTACAACATGTTGCTATAAGTCCTTCTCGGATCATCTGGACCCCAAATCCAAATACTGCTTTTTCTATTGATTCTATGTACAGGACACTAGTTAAAAACAAATTCGCATAAATTCAGAACTTTCCTACACTGCATTTTGGAAGCACATTATCCCGCCCAAAATCTGCTTCTTTGTTTGGTGTGTTTCTTCAACAGCATTCTGACTCTTACCAATCTGAATAGAAAAGGATGGAAACTTGCAAACCGTTGCGAACTTTGTCAAGGCAAAAAAGAAACTGTTAAATTGTGTGTTTGCTGATGAAGTTTGAAGCGTCATTCAAGGGGGTTGTAGAACTTTCTAGAAATCAGGAGGTGACATCCGAAAAGTCATTTTAGGCTGGCCATCAAGAGCATCGGGTTGTATTGACGATTAGTTCATTTTTTTGTTGCCCACAAGCTACTCTTTAGCACTTGTGGAAGGAACGAAATCAACATATTTTCAACGGGAAAAATCAAACGTCTGGATTGTCTCACGACAGATCGTCAAACTGATTGTTAATTGGTTAGCGGCGGTTGGCAAGGTTGACAAAGAACAGGGTCACATTGGACATTGCATTGTTTCTCGAGAATTAGAGTATTTTTGTTCTCTGCAAGCTGCTCTGCGGGAACCATTTCACTTGGCCGGTCCCTGATGGTAGTCCCGTTCGTTCGATGCTCTTCTTCTGCACTTTTCTTCATCAACTGTCTTCAACACTCCTCTCACCTTCATGCTCTATATCTACATCAGTTGTTCTGTTGGTCTTGAGTGTTTTTTTGCTGCATCTTCGATTTAGTGTTATTTTTATATAGCTACTTGCCTCGCCAGGATGCTTTGCCTGGTTCTTTCTTATTTGGAGTTCTTTGCTTTTCTTTTGCTCTTGTGTCTTGGCAGGGATGGTCTGGTCCATCTAGCCATCTCTTATCTTTTTTGCTTTTGTGCATGTTGTAAGATCATCTTGCGGTCCCCAACAGGAGTGGCTCGATCCATTTAGTTGATTGTTTCCTCTCTTTTGTTCTATAATTTCCTTCTTTATTTTTCTTCGCGGCATGCTTGTTGCTCAGTCCTTGTGAACCCTTGTTGTTTCTTCTTTTTTATTTGCAAACCTTTCCTTTTTGTTTTTGTTGTAATGTAGTACCAATTGAGGAGTTTTTTCTCCTTGTTTTCTTGAGTCACCCCCTCCTGTGTTGTTCTTGATTTTAATTTCAGTTTATCCTTTGGAGTTCTTTTATATTTTTTTATTGTGTACTTGATCTTAAGTTTTGGGGTATGCCTATGGACTCTGGTGACTTGCAAGTCACCATAACTTGGAGAAAACAGTCGACCTCTTTCATTAAGTGGTCGACCACTTTCCAAGAAAATGATCGACCTCTTCCACCAAATGGTCTACCACTTGAGTCATTTAGTCTACCACTTCTGGAAATGGGTCATCTAATGACACACTTACCTTCAAGTAGTCAACCTTTCCACCAAGTGGTCTACCACTTGAGTCAACCGGTCTATCGTTTCCGAAAATGGGTCGACTTAATGAAACAATTACCCTTAAGTGTTTGACCTCTTCCATTAAGTGGTCGACCACTTTCCAAGAAAATGTTTACCACTTCCACCAAGCGGTCTACCACTTGAGGCAACCGGTCTACCGCTTCTGGCAATGGGTCGATCTGTTGCACACTTATCTTCAACTTACAACTGTTTGCTGGAGGAGGTAGACCGCTTTCGCCAAAAGAGCCTACCGATTTTGCAAAATGATTTACGTACCTCTTTTGGCAAACGATCTTCGGTTTCGGCGAATGGTCGACCAGATGACACAGTTACCTTATACTTACATTAGGAAAATAATGGACAATAGGACACCAACAATATAAAATTGTTTCATAGTAACGCCACATCCTATCACCCGTGGGCAACCAAATCCCTACGTAGATTATAGGCTAAGACAAAAAGGAACACCCTCTTTTAACTCTTTTGAAATAAGAATCCACAAAAGCAATGATATGAGATTTATGGACGTTGAAGATGACACAATTGTATAACAAATATACTCTACTTTTTGAGCATCTTCATAACAACAATAGCAACAAAGTTGATCCATCACAAGACAACTAACTATAGGCTTTTAACTTAGAATTTCAAGGAAAGATGAAAGTCTCTATAAAGTAAGTGAAAATTAAGAATTTGGGTCATGACTATTTATTAATCAAACCTTTTTCATATTCTTTTTTATTAGCCAAACCTATTGAATTCTAATAATTAGCCAAATGTTAACATTCAGTTAGCAATTTTGTTAGTATTATTGACTTGGCAACATGATACTGACTTGGAAGAGACACATGAAGGTCAACATTTCAAAATTTTAGTATTTTAACTAAGAAAAGAGTTACAAAATTATTAACGATAGCATAAAAATGGCTAATACTTTGACATGTTACAAAATGTTTGGCTAATTCTTAGTATTTCAACAGATTTGGCTAAAATAAAAGAATCCGAAAAATGTATGGGCAATAAATAGACATTACCCAAAAATAAATATGCGGAATATTTTTCAAATCTATAGAAGAATAATCACTCGAGAAACTTGTCATCTATGTTTGCAGCCTTTGTACTAATTTTAAATCTCTTACTAGCAAGCATATCTATTGTTATTGGACTCTAATTATATATGATGATATCGCAGTCAATGGTTCATCAGGTGAACCAATTATTGAAAGAGTTGGACCGCTTGGGGAAAGGGATAGACCACTTGATGGAAGTGGTATACCGTTTTTTTGTATAGTGGAAGAGGTTGACCGTTTGTTGAACATAGCAAAATGAAAAATTCCAACAATGAGATCGACCATGTCAATAAAGATGTCGACTGTTTTGTCCAAATAGATCAACCATATCAGTGAACAAATCGACCATTTTGTTCAAGTCACAGTAACTTGCAAGTCAACATAGTCCGTAGCAAAATCCTAACTTTTGTTTCTACCCTTGCTCCTTTTAACTTTCCCCCTCTATTACTTCCTTTAATTCTTTTTTCAATAAAGTATCTCAATTATTAAAAAAATGATGTTTTTTTTCCCCAATAGATAACCAAAAATGATGTTGTTAAATGCATCCATATTGTAAAGCATGGAAAAAAATGATCAAACTTGGGAGAAATTATTTGACTGATTGGGGGAATATTATTAGGGAGAGCGTAATCCAGTCTCCTCGTCGCCCACGGACACAATGGATAGAAGAAGAAACAACCACCCATCTTCTCACTGTCTTCTTCCACTCCTCTCTTTCCCCCTTTCTCTTCTTCTCCTCCTCCTCCTCCTCCTTCTTCACTCTCCGCTCTCTTCCAATTCGGCTTCCACACCAGAAATTGTCGGCTATGGCTACTCCCTCGGATCCGTTTCCGTTGACCTACCCAGTCACTCGCTGACCGCCGATCTCAATCTTATCCAGAGCTCCGACGTCTATGGACCCGATATTCCCACTCTCACCCTCTCCGCCTGGTACACCACTCTCACTCTCCCCGCCATTTTTCTCGAAATTTTCCCGGGAAAATGCAGGCCAATCATGAATGAACTGAGACCTCCGTTATTATATCCCCAAGGTTGGTACGTGTCAAACCCTGATTGGGTTTTCCACTTTTTTGTTTGTTTGTTTGTTTATTTTCTCCAGCTTCGAGACGGATGAGCGAATTAGAATCCGAATTTCGGATCCCGAGAACGCCAGATGGGAAGTCCCCGGCGAAATCATCCCCCGTCCCTCCGCCGGGAAGCCACTCTCGACCGGTCATTCACCGGCGAGCGGCCGCCGGGTGATGCTGGAGGAGACCGGGCTACTCTCTCACCCAAAATCGGACCTCGTCTTCGCCATACAGAAAACGGAGCCCTTCGGATGCGCCGTCTCCCGCAAGTCCACCGGCGACGTCCTGTTCGACGCCTCCCCCGATGGCTCCGATCCCGGCAGCAGCTTCCTCGTCTTCAAGGACCAGTACATCCAGCTGTCTTCTTCACTCGCTGGGGACCGATCTTCGATCTACGGCCTCGGGGAGCACACCAAGCCCAATTTCAAGCTGACCCACAACCAGACGTTGACCCTCTGGAACGCAGATCTCGCCAGCGCGTCTCCCGACGTCAATCTGTACGGTTCCCACCCCTTCTACATCGACGTTAGGTCGCAATCCGCCGATGGGAAATCGCCGGCGGGAGCCACTCACGGTGTGCTGCTACTGAACAGCAACGGGATGGATGTGGTTTATACAGGGGACAGGATAACGTACAAGGCAATCGGCGGGATTCTAGACTTGTACATCTTCGCCGGCCCGTCGCCGGTGGAGGTGATTGATCAGTATACTAAGCTCATCGGCCGCCCTGCTCCGATGCCGTATTGGTCCTTTGGTAAGTGAATAAATCCATCTTTCTTTGTTAATTGATTCTCCCTCTGTTCCTCTTTTCTCTGTCTCTTTTTTCTTTTTTTTTTTTTTGGTGAAAACCCTCTGTTTCTCTGTTTCTGTAGGGTTTCATCAATGCAAATACGGGTACAAGGACGTGACGGAGCTGGAGGAAGTGGTCGCCGGTTACGCCAAATCAGGGATTCCTCTGGAAGTGATGTGGTCGGATATCGATTACATGGACGCTTACAAGGATTTCACTCTGGATCCGGTCAATTTCCCAGTTCTTCAGATGAGGAATTTCGTCAACAAGCTTCACCAATTCGGTCAGAAGTACGTCGTCATCTTGGATCCTGGTAAATAGCAGTAACTTGCAACATTCTGTTCCGTCATCAATGGAGTCGAAAACCATTAATGGCGTAATTGATATACAGGTATCAACGTCAATGAGAGTTATGAGACATACAACCGAGGGATGGAAGCAGATATCTTCATCAAACGAGACGGTTCGCCTTACTTAGGATCGGTTTGGCCCGGACCCGTTTACTTCCCGGATTTTCTGAACCCAAACACATCGGACTTCTGGAGGAAGGAGATCGAAACGTTTCGCTACATTCTCCCCGTCGACGGGATATGGCTAGACATGAACGAAGTGTCGAATTTCATCACCTCAGCGCCAACTCCCAATTCGACCCTCGACGACCCTCCGTACAAGATCAACAACGCAGGAAACCAGAGGCCGATCAACAACAAGACCACTCCGGCAACTTGCCTCCACTTCGGTAACGCGACAGAGTACGACGTCCACAACATGTACGGACTGCTGGAAGCCAGAGCGACGCAGGAGGCTTTGATTAAGGTGACAGGGAAGCGTCCATTCATACTATCTCGATCGACATTCGTGAGTTCCGGCAAGTACACGGCGCATTGGACCGGTGACATTGCTTCGACTTGGGATGATCTCGCCAACACGATTCCTTCCATTTTGAGTTCCGGGTTGTTTGGGATTCCGATGGTGGGTGCTGACATATGCGGGTTCTCGTTAAACACGACGGAAGAGCTCTGCCTGCGATGGATTCAGCTGGGAGCCTTCTACCCATTCGCTAGAGATCACTCCGAGAAGGGCTCCGTAAGCCAAGAGCTCTACCGCTGGGAATCGGTGGCTGAAGCAGCGAGGAAGGTTTTGGAGCTCCGATACAGGCTTTTCCCCTATCTCTACACATTGATGATGGAGGCAACAGAGAGAGGGACACCAATTGCAAGACCACTGTTCTTCTCCTTCCCAGAGGACACCAACACTTACGCAATCGATCACCAGTTTTTGCTGGGCGGCGGTGTGATGGTGACTCCAGTGGTGAAGCAAGGAGCAGTGTTTGTCGACGCGTATTTCCCGGCAGGGGTTTGGTTCAGCCTATTTGATCACTCCGACGTGGTGATCGCTGGCACCACGGGGAGGTACGTCACTCTGGAGGCGCCACTGGACAAGATGAACGTTCACTTGAAGGACGGGTACATCTTGCCAATGCAAAGGGAAGCGATGACGACCAGGGAGGCTCGTACGACGCCATTTCATCTGGTGGTAGCGTTGGGACTGCAGGACGGGAGAAGCAGCGGGGAGGTGTACTTGGATGATGGGGAGAGGGTGGAGATGGGGGAAGAAGGTGGGGATTGGACTAAGGTGAGGTTTCGCGGCGGCGAGGTAAATGGTACGAATGGAGCATTTCTGAGGTCGGAGATTGTGAACGGAAGGTTAAACTGGGGATGGATTGTAGACAGGGTGACTTTCTTGGGATTGAAGGCAGATCAGGTTGGCGGGAGATGTGAGGTATTCATATCCAAGGGTTCGAATCTGGGTAGCAACTCCGCGATGGTAAAGACTAGCCCGAACAGTGGCAACGGCAGCAGCTCGCAGTTTGCGACGGTTGAGATATCTCAACTGTCGATGCTCGTGGGCGAAGAGTTCCATCTGGAGCTCAAGTTCAATCAGCCATTGCAGTGAAGATCATGCTGACAATACTATTGTGCTTCTAATATATATATATTTTATAGTGGTGATCCAATGCATTGAAAGCAAACAAAAGGTACTGCTTCTAATAAATTGAAATCAGTCAGTTATATATAGTTGAAACAAGTTAATAAATTACCGTTCGAGGCAACGGTTCGGTTTCTTTCTTGTTCGAATCCAGATGGGTTTTCGCTCATACCTTCTATTTCCCAGCTTCTCCTCCAAAAGCGTCAGGCATTTCAGATACGAAGGGTTGTCCGCCTCTGAGATGGGGCTACCAGGCAGGGGCTTCCTCGGCTGGGGGTATGGTGCTTATGACCTCAGACCATGATTTACTTTTGGCTAGGGGATTCAGTTTCCTGACCTGGTTGATCTTATGGTCATTGAATTACTGACCCTTCGGGGGGCTATTGGCTGGTGTTTGGGTATGGGGTTCACGGAGGTTAGGTTTGATGGAGATGCCAAGGTGATTATTGACAAAATTATTTTGCGGCAGGCCAGTGATAATCGGGTGTGAGCTATTCTGGAAGAAGTTTTACACTATTTTCATTCTCATCCGGGGTTGGGTGTGCGGTTTGTAGGTCGGAATAACAATAGTGTAGCCCACAGGGTGGCTAGGAAGGCCCTTTCTTTGTCTCCGACTATGAGTCGTGTTTTTTATTTCCAGGCCTGGCTGTAGCGGTGTACATGGGTCGGGTGGTTCGGGTTTAGTCATTTTAATCACTCGATCCATGCACTACGGTTTGGGAAATATCAAATCCAAACCCACCCAAAAAAAATTAAACCCTACAGTTTGTTTCTAATTGGGTTGGGTCGGGTTGGGTTGGCGATATTTTTAAGTAAAAACCCAACCCAACATAAAATATATAATTATTCTATATCACAAAAATATTTTATAACTAATTAAAATTTCAAACGAATGAACCGAGGTGAAAGGTATCAAAATTCACAAATGTTGTTTGAATTTTAATAAAATGTGATCTACTTCAACATATGTCTTGTTTTTCTTACAATATTTGTTGAAATAGGCTAAAAATGTTATAAACAAACGCGTCCATAATATGTTATTCTATTAAAATTGTACACAAGAAAAAGGATTACGTGAATCATAACTATATTCAATTTATGTCTAAACTTTAAGTCGAAGAATGCATTAGATTAGGGAGACCATGAGAGAAAAACATGCCGAAAAATCTTAATTTTCTCATAAGTATATGACTATATACGACATAAATATTTTTTAGATCCAAACTCATACTAATAGTTGGAACACGGGTTGGGTCGGGTTCTACGGGTTGTGTAATCCAAACCCAACCCAAAAGAGGCGGGTTGTACAAAAGAAAACCCTCACCCAACCCAAAACCTTCGTTTTAGCGATAAATACGGGTGGGTTGGGTCGGGTTGGACGAGTGGGTCGGTTTGCGGGTGTGTTTGTTCACCCCTACCTGGATGGTCTCCAAGATGTAATTATCTCTTTTTTTTATAGATAATTATCTCTTCTTGAATCAATATAAGATTACCTTTTTGTCAAAAAAAAAAAAAAAAAACTTGCAGGTTAAACGCATATACCAGAACCATAGCTGTGCAATAACCAGAGAATTACAGAAAAGAGATAAACAAGGGGTTGGTAGTTGATATTTCACAAATCCACAATATGTTGCTTTACCTTTTTTCAATACCATCCAAACAACTACGAGACATTATGAGGTTCAATAAGAATATTTGAAGTTTTATCTATCTACTACAACCTAAATAACAAACGTAATAATTTACCAAGAAAAAAAGGGGGGGGAAAAAAAAAGAAACGTAATAACTGCACAATCACCAAACCTAACAATGAGAACTATTCAGAGCAACACAAACACACCAGCGAAGCCAAACAAGAGGCACTGAGCGAAATGCAACATTCAAAAAAATGAAAATAAAATCCTCAATGTTATGCATTTACACGAGGCGCCTTAATCGAAGGCAAGCTAAATTACTGAAGGGGCACAAAAAAAATGATAAACGAATAGAGTCTCATGTTAGAATACATTAAAACTTGCATCTAGAAATCGATTACATAGAAGAAACAAGCTAGTATAGTACCCATATGTTCACTATCCCATCTGTGAGTTGTATGTGGACTTGTTCAAAACAGCTACAAAAAAAATTCTGGCTTCAGCGATAAACCCGCAGGAGCCGTGCCTTTGGATTGGGATTGTCGTATCAAAATCATCCACATCCTACCTAAAAAATTGGCAACACCTGGAAAAAGCAAACACAGTCTTCTCCCCATTAGGGATCCCGGAACTTTAACTAGCATAATGCAATTCAGGAGAAACTTCCCAAGAAAAAGAAATGATTCATAGGTAAAGTTAAGCATACAGTTAAAGCGTTAAAATGCCTCGAGGAACCTAGAAATGAAAACAAGGGCAGAAAGTAAACCATGTTCATTTCCCCCAGATTCCATCATGGAAACCAAATCAATTAGAGGCATGCTGTTCAGGTGGAATTCATTATTGATTCTCAGATGTTATCAGCCATCAAGGATGACGACACAAGGAAACTAGAAGATGAATTTGACTGGTAGAATGTAGATAAGGATGCATGCACTACTTACCTTAATCTCATTGTACAAAGTGCATGAGCCGAGAACTGGTTCAACATTCCCATTTGTTTCCTGAAATACTTTGTTACAGCTTTAAGAGACTGGCCAATCAACTCGGCATCTGGAGAGTCGTAGATCTCAATCAGCTTCTGCTCCAAACTTCTGTGCCAAGAATTCATCAAGTTGTCCCCAATTAGGGGTACTGGATTCACCGCTCGAGTTATTATCAGAAGGTAATGACCTAATGCATCCAAGAATCTGAGCAACATCCCTATGAAGCCTGGAGTAAAAGAACACAGAAAGAACGCCATGTTTCAGCAAAAGACAAACCACTTTATTGAAAAAGAACATTGAATGTTCACAAAGTTGGGAACAAAGTCGTACCTGTCCTTCGCTTGTGGAGTGCTGATTTCTAGCCGTGAAAAAGCCTCAGAAATTTGAGAGTGGAAAATCACAACAACTTGCCTGCAGGAATACAAATCAGAATCCCAAACCCACCATGATGTTTTGGGCTATTTAAATGACAGTCCAATTTTTGTCCAGGAAACTCACCTAAAAATCGCTTTGACATCAGACTCGTGCAAAGTTCTTGACAGAACACGTTGAAGATAGCCAACCTCCTGCAGAACAATCAACCAATATATGCTTCAATCAACAAGATAATTTGAAACTAAGCTGAGAGAACGGAAACCATGCATCAGTGTTGGTATGCTGCTGTTTTAACCAGCCAATATTCACTTCAGGTATGCTCGAGAAGACATCCTTTACCTGACAGAACATCCAGACCTCTAAAATAATACTCTGATGGGAGACATTATAAATCAAATAACTGTTGCTTCCAGCTTCAGCCATTTTGAAAACATAACCAAACCAAACTTTAACCGTTTCTTGAATAGCTCAGAAGTCAGAACTCAATTTAAACGCCAACTAATTTCTTGCAACTACATATAAAATGATAAAATTGCATCATTACTAAATGCACACGATGAAAGTCATAATACCAATGGAGAACCACTCTCAATTAACCGCAAACAGTACAGAGACAGCAGCTTTAGCAAACGAATAACAAGGCAGCTGAATTGAAGGGGCACATTGTTGAACATCGAACAAGGAATGCGCTTAAACTCTGCCTCTATAATTGTGTACCAAAAAGATCATTGGCATTTCCAATCAAACAAAATTCAGCAAAGCAGATGGTTGAAGAAAAATATTATGTTGACCATAAATCTCATTCAAGTTCGCTTCACAAAAAATGCACATATTGAACCTAATCATGAACACTCTTGAGCTCTGCGTAGATAATTCAGAATAGGACGGTTACCTTGGTAAGGGATCGAGCAAACTGACTAGGTTGTGGATCAGCATCTTCTGGTCTGTTCCAGCCCTCCACAATTTGCGGCAACCCTCGTAGATGTACAAACAACCTTTCTCTCATTATCTGGACCAGCTTTGTATGTATTTCATCTCGATGTACTTTATAATCCTGAAAATTGCACAACTCTCATTTAGTTGTAGATCCATAAAGTAAATGATAAAAGATAACCACTATGGTCAAAAAGAGAGCAAATGTAGGAGCAGTCCTGTTTTTTTCTTCTTTAAGAGACATGGAACAGTATGGCGGGCGGAGCAGGCACAAAAAAGCACCGCACAACAGAACATTTCAAGCCAACAAAGTATAATAACTTCAACATGACAAAGAATGATTCTGCAACCGAAGTTCAACAGCTTTGGTACTCCCCAAAATAGAAAACGACAATGTAAACTAGACACTGAAGCAAGAAATACAACAACAAAAAAATAGCAAAAGGAAAGGTCTCCTCGGTACCTGTGCGACCCGGTCTATCTCTGATACCAGCAAGTCCTTCCGTGTCTCAGGGACCTTAAGGAAAAGTACTTGCCTGATTTCTTGGTGCAGAAACAAAGCATGAACATATAACCGTTCAGAACCTTTCAGTACAGCATTCTTCACCTTAGACTCAATAATGACACTCTACAAACTCTCACTGTCATGTGACGTAGGAAGAAAATAAGAAGCGCAACTGAGAGAGAAAAGCAAATCTAATGAATTGTCTTTGGAGAGGGGGTTCCTTAGCTCCACATGCTAAGGCACAAAACTGCAGACCACAAGCTGCAACAGGCCAAAGAGGCAATACTAACAAGCAATGTGCATTCGTGTTTATTATTGCCCGTCAAAAGGATTGCATTGGTCATTGTTGCCAAGTAAGTCTCTGGTTTATGAATGTGTGACAAATGATTTGTGTACGAGCTTTTCCAGCCTTCAGACATTGTGCTCTGAACTACATCAAGTGATAATCTTTTTGTTTTCCATTACCTCACAGGAAGAAGTTCTGGATATGAGTCATAGAAATGCAGAAACTGTGATCACACCATACCACATGTCTCAAATCAATCAGAAAAAGACAGTGGAATTGGGTGTTATCAGTGCTAGTTTATATAGCATTTGCAGAGAAGCACCCCACAGAAAAGAAAGCTATCATTAACAAAAAAAGGTGAAACACTGATGCAAGTATCAATTTGACAAAACAAGTGCGTGGAGCATCATACCAGGAATTATAGAGTATGTAAAACTGATGACTTGACTTGCAAGGGCCAAGTGTTTAGAAGTAATGGACTTTAATCCAGACACCTGCCGTGTAAAGAAAAGTAAATGGGAGAGTAAGAAAGACTTTTCTGCACAAAATGGATTGAAAAATACTGAAGCTTCAGGAAACATTATAACACGCCAAAAGATGAAAAATTCACCAGTAAATTATTTCAGACTTAAAACAGTTACACTAAGCAAGAAATTACTAAAAGCATGGCATGTATTTCCCAGATAAAACAAGATACAACTGGGATGATATGACTAACCATTTTCACAAATAAGCTTGAAGTATTAGCCAGTAGATGGTCAGGAAAGAGTAACAGGAAAAATAAAAGCAAAAATGCAATGAGCACCAAAGAGATGAACCTGCATGGCACCAGCTCCAAGGACAAGTTGACAAGTCCTAGTGTTGAAGAATTTCAAAATCTCCACAACACGATGTACAACTTCTGAAGATAATGCCGGCAAATAGTTGTTCATATCAATGTACTCAGACAACATCTTCACCATTATCAAGCCACTGGGATGCAAATAAGATAACAAGGAAACATATAATCAGAAGAAGCCATTAAATAGTTGACAGTTTGAGGAAATTATGAAACAAAGAGTGTTAGATGGCAAAAGTAGTTAACACAATAACAAAGAAGTAGTGGAGCAAGTAACAACACTAAACATAATGCTTTCACAATGCATATTGGATATAAAAAACTAGAGAAGACCATCAACGAAAAAAAGGAAAACTAACCAGTTAACCATGTGGTAGCCAACACCTTCGTAAAAGAGTTTTTGAGAAGCAACTTTTCCACGATCCTTTGAATTCTTATTGTTACCCTGAGATGATGATGTCACTACATCAGTTTTGTTACTTTCAGCTGTTTGGGACAATGGATGCAATTTTCCTTGAGCATTATTTAGCTTCTCAACGGAAGCCTTTCTCACAAGTTGCTCTTGAGCTGCAAGTGTTTCATTGACATGGACAACAGAACCATCAGTGCTTGCAGAAGGGTGGCTAGCTGTTATATCGGCCTGTGAAGTATCTAGTTCCGCAGACACCAGAGTTTCCGAAGATAACACCGAAGTAATTATGCTCTGAAATTCATCAGGAACATCTACTTCCACCCATGTTTCTTGATCAAGTACAGCCTTAATTTTTGTCATCTACAAAGAATGAGGAAGGTTAAAGCTTAAACTAGATAGAACATCAAGACACACTTTAAAAGGAAGCATAATGGCGCAATGATGACGAACCCGCATCTCATGCTGCAAGTCAACAAATGCTTTGGCCTGAGACTGCAATGTTCCACGAATACTATATCCCACTCTTCCACCAACCTGTTTGCGTTAGCAACATAAGTCACAATGCAGCAAATAAATATTAGGTTCTCGACAATAATAGGAAAGAGAAGCAACATATTCAGAGTAAGTATGTCCTCTCAATGAAAGAGAGCAAAGAGAAGAACAGAGAAAATGAAACTCCTACACGAGTCTAACTGATGGTTAAATTTTGTAAAGAATAACAGCAGCATGACACCAATTCTAGCCAAGGAATGATCTTGGTATCACTCAATGTAGAAAACCTAGAAAGTAAGTACCTTTTCTGTGGCAGATATAAATTCTTGTGTGATGTTGTAGATGCTCAAAAATTCTTGCAATCTCAACTTAGGATGAAGAAGGGCGCGAACTCCAAGGAGTTTTGCCCATCTTCCGTGAGCGGCATCACATGCGGCAAATACAGCCTCAGCATTCTCTCGCAACACATCAGCTCTGCAAAACAATAAAAGTCCAACTAAACCATAGTAATCATCCCTTATCTTCCAGGATTAAAACTAGGAACTTCAATGGAGATGGGAAAAGGGCCGCTGAAGTTTCAGAGTCCCATTTCAGTAAATAAAAGCAAATTAAGTGCCACAGTAGTAATTATCAATGAGTTAAGTACGGTATCTAACTAATCTTAATGATAATGCTTAAAAAATTACGAACCACATTGACCGGGAGAATTCCTATCAAAGTAGAAGTGTAGAACTGTGCAGGCTTTGCCTAAACATTACTTGTAATCTCGGCAACAAATAATACCTGAAACTCCTCGACATACTTGATGCAGTCCCCGGATCGTTTGTTTTCCCTTGAGATGATTGCATCTTAGTGGAACTCTTCTGGGTCGGAAATGGAAAAAGTGAACCATCTTGACTATCATTCCCTTGAGCTGCTTCTGCAGCAGCGGAGCCAACTGCAATTGCAGCAGCAACTGAATCAGCAGCATAATGTCCATCAAGGTTGTTCATAATCCATTCAATTGCTCGTTTCACTTCAGCAGCACGCATCAAATGAGCCTGCATTCACTAAAACAAAACAAATCATATTACAACTTAGTTAAGTGAAGTCAACAGAAGCTAGAAGCTAAAAACAGGTTTGGTAAGGAAAATTAAAGTAAAGCTTCTACATCAGAACTCAAGTAAAAAGGGGGGAGACAAAAAATAATTTTCATTAGGTCTAGAAGTTTCATCTGATCTGAAACACTATATGAACTAGTTTTCTCTCACAATTTCTTACACCATGCCAGTCTGAGAGACCCTGCCTTTCATAGAAACTTTGGTCAAGACAGTACAGACTGGTCTTCTCTAGTTGCAAACTAATATGCAGGGATGATAGCAAAGTCTCTTATTGCACAGAAAATACACATCTCCTTCAGCCTACATTATTAGTTCTTCCTATGCAACATTCAACATCTGATTGTACCAAGAGAAAATAGGGACTTATGCCCACTCTCTGGTGATTAACGATGCATAGCTCATTATAGTGATGATCAGTTCCTTACAGGTTTCCAATCTTAGTCTAGATCTCAAACGCATAACTTCATGGCATGGCATTGTATAGAAATCTCACAGAAGCAATGCCTTAATATTTTTGTTAAATGGGTTTATAAAAAACAGTGTTAAACAATGAACTGCAGAGCTGCAGCCTACAATAGCTCATTCAATAGACCCCAATCTTTGGAAGCACAACCAAGAATAATTAGTCAAGTGTGAACCATCATCCATCAGCTTCATTCGTTTAAAAGTCCTGTTAAGGCACGGTACCTGCACAATCTTGAAAATAGCGCCCAAAATCTGAACAAAACTTTCAGCTGTCAAGCTCCTTAACTTGCTTGCAAGAGATAAACCTCCACCTGAATCACCTGCCATGGTCAGTACACCAGAACAAATACATACATGCATGTCTCTATGCATTACAACCTTGTTCATGGTATTGTATTTTAAGATCCCTACCATCAGCATCTACTGTTCGCTCTACAGGAGTGAAATCTGACTCCAGAGGTCTTGCCACGAGAATTGGCAGAAGCTCAGCAACAGCATTCTTAATGGCAGTTTTCATGTCAGCAGTCAAGGTGTCGCGATATATTCTCAAAACTGATGGGAGCTTAGCCTGAAACCATGTTCGCAACATGACAGTCAACCATGCTGAATTCATAAAAAAACAAGGAATCTTGAATAAACCGAGAAGTGACATGGAAAAACATATGTATCAGATATCAAGTTCAAGCTATATCTACTAGCAGGTCTGCATCATTATAATGCCTCCTTCAACATGTTCAAATATCTAACCATTTAGGCTACAGCAAGATAATGGAGGAACTGAAAATGCTGAATAAAGTACATCCACCCCCCTTCAAGAAAGCACATTTAGGATATCTAGCTCAAAGAATGGACAGGAGGAATGCGACCCATCATTTTCTGTAAAATTAAAATCCAAAATAGCCGAAGTAATGTGCACTGGTATCCTGGTGATAAGATGACTGACAGGCCTGGCACAAAAAACTATTGCTGAAACCTTATCGATTTGAACCAGAATAGAGATGCTTTACGTTAACGATTCCATAGGTGAACCTTGAAAGAAATCCTTAGCTGAAGAAAAATAATAACAAAATAAGCTCATAAAGGAGATCTACTTACTGTCCTCAGCAACCCAACAACTATTGGAAGAAGACGTTCTCGGAAATTAGAAGTTTCTTCATCATCCAACTTAACCTGTCAAGCAGTACACGAATTCATCACTAAAGAGAGAAATGTCGGCCAAAGCAAAGCACTAGCAGGGAACAGTCAACAAATAGTTACGTAAGAAAGAAGTATTTCAGCACCGAGCAGCTTGGATTAAACTATATTCAAAAATCTCCTCAAGAATGCAACCTTGGCTTTAGGTTAGAAGAATTTCCTATATTACACGCATGAAACTGAAGCAAATATTTTTCTTTATTTATTTTTATAAAAAAAAATGAAGGGAAGATTTAAACAAGGCATTCATTGTCACATAAGAAAATCAACTAAACAGGATTAAACTCACCTCGTCAACTTTACCATTCATTAGACTGGAAGCCCAAGATTTGGCTTTGGACAAAATAATCACATCTCTATCCCCAGCATCATGTATTGAAGCACGCAAGAATTCGGAGGAAAGAATGCTGCAAATATGAAGGGAATAAGTTACAGAAAGACAAAGGACCAAGAGATATAAACTCATTTGCTAAGCAGTATGGCTTAATATGCCTCGTTAAGAAGAAGCACAAACTGTATTTGATCACAATGAAGTATTTAGAGGGCTCATCATGAACTAAAAGCTGATTCAGAGTAAAGAATGGAGCCAAATTGTAGGGTCACAAAGCAAACATATCTACTTTATAAATCTATTTGCAAGGAATTTACCTGTTCACAGAATCTATTGAAGTAGTCACATGATCACGAAGGTGACGGAAACAATGAAGACCAGTTAGTTCATCTCCAGCCTGGAATAGATGCAGGGTAAGTTATGTCTTCCAACAAGTAACAAGAGAAGAGGAGGAACGAAAACTCAAAGAGAAACAAAATTTGAACCAGGAAATGATACCCCTTCAGACAAACTCCGCAAGAATATTCCATACTCAATAGAATTGCCAAATAAATTACTATCCACTACTGAAAGCATACCAACAATTGCTGCAAATCGTCAGTAACATCCAAAGCACCAGCACAATCTCCTGATGCAACAAGCTGCACAACAAAATCATGAAAACTCATTATATTTCGGACAGTCAAAAATATAACTGTAAAAAAATTTCTCACAGCAGGAGGCTGCCACTCGAGACCTTGCTGTGCAAACCAACGAATGCCACAACATTAGACCAACATTAAGCACTCAGAATAATACATTCTACTCCCAATTGTAATGCAGTCAGCAGCATAAGAGCAATTACCAATTTAAGAGCAGAAAGAGCCTGGTTAACATATAGTATAACCCTCAACTTGTGTTGTAAAGCCAACATATTGCCCCTGGTACCATTCAAATCCTGAATTTCCCTGGCGGACTCTACCAAATCCTTATCCAGAAGTCTTATGATCTCCTTCAACTCCCGAATCCGGCTACAACCTTCCACTATCCTCACATTAAGATCCTGCAACTCTCCCTGCGCCTCAAAGAAAGAGTTGGACCGAAGCGATATCTCCTTCACCAAGTGCAGTTCCACCACATCCAAGTAATGCGACAGCTTCTCCTGTAAGACCAAGTTCTCCGAGAAATTGGTGAAAGGACAGGCGGCTCGGAACGTTGGCCCATCTTCCAAAGCGAAATCCTCTTTGAAGTAGAGCGCCGGAACCTCCCTCAAACACGCTACGAGCGCCTCCCCTTGCCCCCCAATGCTCTCCAACTTAAGAGTCTCCTCTTTGGTGGTATGGTTCCTAATGTCCTCGAACCGGTTATAGAACTCGGATATAGAAGACAGGTAGCTCTGGAAATCGGATCTCGACACGTCGGAAGCCGCCTTGCTGGAGATCAATGGCGTGAATTCCGGCGGCGCTACGGCGGTGGAAGAGGAGGACCACCAGCCCACCCATGACGCATCGGTGCCGTAGACGCCGGACTTGCCGACGTGCGGATTGTTGAGGATTGACGAGAGGCTCTGGCTGCTAGCATCGGACAGTGATTTAGCCAGTGAAGATTTGGTCCTGCTATTGGTAGGGAGGGCGGAGGACGAAGTTGTAGCCGTAGACGACTCAGCCAGTGACGACCTTCCCTGAAGGGAAGGCTGCGAATCCATGTATATTCACGATCTGGCAAACATATGAATTGAATTCCCCCAGAATCCTAAATTCCGGCAAGAGACGGAGATTGAGCTCCTACTGAGGCGGATAAACCCTAGATGTATTGAGAAGGTGAATCGCAGTGGACAATTCAGGTTGATCCAATGAATTCAGAGATCGAATCGACGACGAGGACCGAAACAGATCTTACAGGGAAGCCAATAGATAATGGAGAGGATTGCTTGCTTGCTTGCTTGGAAATCCAGAATGCAGTGACGAAGCTTATGAGCGACGTGCTAATGAGCCTAGATCTCGCACCGCTGAATATTCTGTTGCCTTGGTCCGATCCCCTTTTCTCTTTGCTTTCTGGTTTTTCTTTCTCTGCTTCTCCGGTGTCGAAAAAATGAAATATGCTGGCTGGATCAGCATTCATCAGTGGAAGAGGAATTGTAGCGGGTAAGACGAAGCGGAGGGAGGAGAAAGGCAATGGGCTGGACCGGGCCAATGCATGCTTATATGGACCGAGCCCAATAGAATTGTCACCATTTGTAACAAGCTCGCCAAGTTTTGAATTTTGGGTTGGTGCCATTGGTTGAATAGGTTGGTTGTTATTTGTTAAGGCCGTTTAGTATAGCATAGTTTTGTTACTGTTATGAGTATAGGTGTCAATCGGGCGGGTTCGGGCTGGGTTCAATCGGGTTCGGGTTCAAATGGGTTGCGGGTTAGTCGGGTTGCAGGTTTATCGGGTTCATCGGGTTCGGGTTCAAACGGGTTGCGGGTTAGTCGGGTTGCGGGTTCATCGGGTTCGGATTCAATCGGGTTGCGGGCAAATCGGGTTGCGGGTTCATCGGGTTTTGGGTCGGGAGGGTTGCGAGCGGGTCGGGTTTCGGGTTGTTCGGGTCAGCGCATCAAGTAACTTAACTCATTACTCATTACCAACTTACACATTTTATTACACTAATTTAAAATATTTTTTCAACTTTTTAACCAATTTATTTCTACCTCGTATATATATATACTTTATTTTTTTGAAAAAAACTAGTCAAAATGTTAAATCAATTTGTATGACTTGCAAACTTGTTATGTAATTAATCATAATTGGTAAAGTATTATAGCTAATAGTAATGGTGATATCAATATTTGCAACCAAAAGACACTGTTAATTGTTTATTTGATATTTTAGTATTAATTCAGTAGTAATTGGATTAAAATATCTCATTTAGTATAACCATGCAAATCTGGTATTTGGCGTGTGGTATTTGGGAAAAGCATAGTGATAAAAGGAGTTATTTCAAAATAACTCATTGCCAAATAACTTTAGTAAACTGTTGTCAAACGAGTTATTTGTAAAATTGTTCAAATTATCCTAAAAATTGAACCATTAAAGATTAACTATCAAATTTAGTATAATTATTGCGACTTCAATCATAACTTACTCAATAGCATATATCCTATACACTTAGCTTTACCCTCAATCAACAATATTAAGTTAGTATATATTGTTGATTGTATACCCTAAACCATCAATACATTATACACTAACCAAATAACCTATACCCTAATCATATGTCCTTGAGTTGTGATTTTGCTAGTATAGTTAATTTAAAAGTGAAATTCATACTTTGATTTTCAAAACATAGATAAAAAGTGATATTTGCTAATTGTTATATGGACCGGGCCAATGCATGCTTATATGGATCGAACCCAATAGAATTGTCACCATTTGTAACAAGCTCGCCAAGTTTTAAAATTTGGGTTGGTGCCATTGGTTGAATAGGTTGGTTGTAGCGAGGGTTTTTTTAGGCGGCGGAAACCTTAGGTTTTCCGAGTTCGAGGTATTGATCGGTGACCAAGTTTATCTCTTTCGGTATCCAAGTAGGATTCAGAGGTCCTCTTCCGTTTTGATTACGGTTCTGCTTGCAAGATCGGGGCTTACATTGAGCCTATTTAAGAAGAGTCTTCCCTGGCTACAGGAGAGACGTGATAATAGCGAGTCTCGTGATTAATAAGCAACTACAGTCTTAGCAAGGACTTCCGCTTGTTTTGATCTTGCTTTACCCTAAAGGAGTATCGATGGAAGTTGAGAATAACCAGGAGATAGCTGAAGCTGGTGAGAAGGAGCCGCTGGAACTCCAATCTACAGCTGAAAGTATTGAGAAACAACTGGATCACATCACCCTGGCGGACGAGGATGACGAGCCTTTGGAAGTTGAAGACGATGATGTGGATGTTGTCCGAATGGAAGCTATACGCCAACTAGGGCTAATAGGCCGCCTAGTGGCAGATAAACAACCAAACGTCAAATCTATGAAGATTGCGCTGGCAAAGGCATGGAATCTTAAAAAGACAATCCAGATTACAGACATGGGAGATATGTTATTCGCCTTTCAATTCATAGAAGAGGATGATCGAAATAAGGTTTGCTTTGGGGGTCCTTGGCACTATGAAAACAACGTGATGGTGTTTGAGGCTAGCCTGCTGATCAAGAAACCCAACCCGGAAGCCCTATATATGGATTCAGATCAAGGAGCTACCGGCTGAACTTAGAACTCAAAAGAAGGCGGAGAAAATAGCAAACAGATTTGGATCTCTAATGTGGTTCGATGATAACCCTGAAACTATGTGGGACACCTACATGAGACTAAGGGTGAGTATGTCCATTAACAACCCTCTCAAAAAGAAAGTCAAGTTAAACATAGGAGGGAGACTGGTGGAGTACCTGGTGAAGTACGAAAAACTTCCCATTTTCTGCTACTCGTGTGGCAGGATAGGTCATCCGAAGATAAGATGCCCCAGACCATCTGGTCTTTATCCTGACCCTTTTGGAATGGAGCTAAGAGTGAGTCCTCAGGGCCCACGAAACTGGTTGTCCCATGCAGCCAAAAAGGAGGATGCTGAAATTTGGGCAAGGTTGAGAAGAAAATTTGATATGGAGAGTCTGGGATCTAATTCAGACCATGAAATGCCCCCTGCAGAAGAAGTAATGGGGAATAAGGTTCAGTCAGACAAAGAGAATGCCATGGCCAACACAGAATCAGTAGGTCACCACCAGAAGATAGCACAAAAGGCAAAGGGAGAGGAGAACATACAGTTGGAGAATCCGGCAAACATATCTCTCCCCCAAATTCACAACGCGGGACGTGTTGATCCAGGGGGCGCCCTGCACAGCTTTGTTATGGGTGCTTGTGGTGTTCAACAAGGCAAGCGTAATGGGGGCAGGGTGTGGCGGAGACAGGATCACGTTAAACCAAGAACCACTGAGAAAACTCATGTCACCCCGCAAAAAAGACCTGTAAGAGAGGGGGATATTCAAGAACATAAAGGTGAAGAACAGATCATACAGGCAAAAAAAGCAAAGGTGCTGAATTTTACTGAAAATTTGGATACCTTACCACCTGCAAACAAAACTACAACTAAGGATGGCGATGTGGCGGACTCTGTAGAGAAGCAGAGCCGCCCAGCCCAATGAGTATCTTGAGCTACAACTATCGGGGTTTGGGGAAATCCTGGGCAGTGAAGAAGTTGGAGCGTCTACTGTTCCAGCAAAACCCTAGTGTGGTCTTCCTAATGTAGACTAAAAAGAAGGACAAGGAGTGGAAGGAGATCCTAACCCAACTCGGGTGGGAAAATGGACATGGGATGGGATCGTCCGGCAGAGCAGGAGATCTACTTGTCATGTGGAGGAACGATATCTCTATTGAAATTATGTCTGATTCCTCAAATCACATCGATATGAGGGTAACTGAAAAAGATTTAGTTTGGAGGCTGACATGGGTGTATGGATGGCCCGAAGAGTCGAATAAGCACTTGACGTGGGATTTGCTACGAAACTTACATAGCCAAGCATCGGTTCCTTGGCTGGTCTGTGGGGATTTTAACCAGATTCAGAGTTACAAAGAGAAGCATGGGTTGAACGATCCTAATATGCAGATTATGGAGAAATTTAATGAGGCAATAGAGGATTGTGATCTGGAGGACCTAGGCTATTATGGGAATACGTTCACGTGGGATAACAACCACACGAATGAAACCTTCCTCGAACGTCTAGATAGGATGTTAGCAACAACAGATTGGATGGAACATTTCCCACATGCTCGTGTCTATATCTAAGGAGGTGCGGGTCTGACCATTCTCCTATTATTCTCAAGAGACGCTTACTGGAGGACAAGGTGAATTGGGGAAGGAGTTTTCGGTTTGAGAGTTACTGGACTAGAGAGCCTGAATGTGAGGCGGTTGTTTCAGGAAGTTGGCGAGGGAATCCGGAAGAAACGGTACTGGCAAAGATAGCTAAATGTGAAGATAATCTAAAGGAGTGGAGTAAAATAAAGTTTGGTAGCCTTGCAACCAGAAGGAAAAAGGCAGAGAAAGCTTTGGCCATTTTAGACAAGAGAAAGAAAAATGGGGCAGTGATCACACAGAGGCGAGCTCTTGAAAAGGAACTTAATGAGATCATGGACTTGGAGGAAATAGCTTGGAAACAAAGATCCTGCACAGATTGGTTGCAAGAAGGGGATAGGAATACCCCTTTCTTCCACAGAAAGGCCTCGGATAGACGAAATCGTAACACAATCTTCTGCCTTCTAGATGAAGATGGGGTGGAGAGGAAGGGACAGAAGGAAGCTACCTTATGCATCAGAGATTACTATCAAACGCTCTTCAAAGCAGCTCCCCCAGCCCAGACTTCCCATGTACTTGATGCAATTTCCTGCAAAATAACGGACAGAATGAATGAGGAGTTGCTTCAACCTCTTACAAGAGAGGAAATTTGAAATGCTTTGCGGTATATGGGGCCCACTAAGGCACCAGGGGCTGATGGTATGCCGGCCATGTTTTTTCAAAAGCACTGGCATGTTATAGGAGAGGATGTTACCAAAGAACTACAGGGGTACTTTAAAAGGGGAGTTTTCCCTCAGATTCTGAATCATACGCTTCTCGCTCTTATTCCTAAGACTAAGAAGCCAAAAACACCAGCTGAATTTCGACCCATCAGTCTTTGCAAAGTTCTCTACAAGATCTTTTCTAAAGTGCTAGAGAACAGGCTCAAACAAGTTTTGAAAGTGGCAGTAGTGGAAAACCAGAGTGCCTTTGTCCCTGGGAGGTACATAACAGACAATGTCATTGTCACATTTGAATGTTTCCATGCAATGAAGATCAGAACGAAAGGAAAAAAGGGTTACATGGCAGCTAAATTGGATATTGCGAAGGCTTATGACAAAGTTAGTTGGGAATTTCTGGAAGCTATTATGAGGAAACTTGGATTTGCTGAAAGATGGGTGAGAATGATTATGTACTGTGTTTCAACAGTATCATACGCTGCCCTAGTGAATGGGCCCCAATCTGATACTTTCTTCCCCACAAGAGGGCTCAGGCAAGGGGACCCAATTTCTCCCTACTTGTTTCTACTGGTAGTTGAAGGTCTCTCTGTCCTTACAGCTAAGGCGGAGTCAGAAGGTTTAATTCAGGGCTAAAAGTTAGTCAAAATGATCCATCGGTCTCGCATCTGCTCTTTGCAGACGATAGCATCTTCTTCATCAGAGCAACAAGGCCCCAATGTTCGAAGTTAAAAGAAATTCTTAGTTGGTATGAAGT